AAAAAAATAAGATACTGTGTTCTGAACTGCATTGCTGATCGGAACAATGTCAAAAGATACAGGAGAAAAAAAAAAAAAAAAGAGTAAAAATGGATTAAACTAATACAGGGAACAATTTCAGATCTGAGGGAAACAAAGTTTCTTATAGCTTGATACTTCAGATGTTTAAGTATGCTTTATTGTATGCTGACATGTAAAAATATGCGAAGGCTTCAGATTCGCTGATAAAAATTAAAGAACTCGTCTCCTTATCAGACTATTTGGAAGCCCTTTAATGTCATACATGCACAGGCATTCTGCACAAATATTCACCTTCTCCTCAGTGATATTAATCAGCTTTTAATAAAATGATCTTATGCAATCACAATCTTTAAAAGGCTCACGAAGTCCCTTCTGCATGGGAATGGAAGTAATAAACCAAGCCAAAAGCATCTAAGATAGTTTTGGGTTTGGGTTTTGGTTTGTTTGTTTGTTTAAATAAACGGTATGTATGAGAAGGATTTTTAAGTTAGCAAGAGATGAAGATTTCAGAACTAGAGTTCAGAAAGTTTTCCTGAATTAAGTCCATAGGTTTACAGAAAACTTGAATTTGCTGCTTATGCCAAGCAATAAATATAATCCTCTAAGAAATCTAAGAAACACTTAGTTCGTCTAATGTCAGATCAAATAAATACTCCCCATTAAAGATTAGGGTATAGATTTATTACAGTTATTGGAACTGGAATAATCTCCATAATGACAAATATGCACATAATGACAGGTAACAATACACAGCCATGTTAAGCCCAGAAATCAAGCTCAGCAAGAATTTCAGCATCTTGAAATTGTGTCTGAGAAAAGCAAAAAGTACTCAGTGAAAAAACAGTCTCCAAGAGAAAAAAAAAATGGATTGTTTATGCTTTCCAAACACTTAAAATAATAATAGTAACAAGAACAAGCACAAAACCCCACAACCCCAAGACTGAAAAACAATTATTAGCAAAGATAATGAAATGGCAAGATGAACACTGATGGATAAATAAATTCTTCTACACAACTCATATGAAGTATTAAATTTAAAAGCAAGTACAAATGATCTTAGAAGTTAAGGCAATCTTTTACAGCAATCTGAAAGTGTTTATCACCTATGAACTCCTGAAACCTTCAGAATGAAAAATAAATTTAAAGCCCAAGCCAGTTAACCCAGTACATCTCTCCAACAAGATAATCATTTGCAGATTTTTATCTGGGGACCCATATCACCATGTGCTAAGTTTTAGGGTGAATTTTACTGGCAAACAATTCCACCGTTATGACAACTTTCAACAGTTTTCGTCCCCCCTGTGCCTTCTCATGCCTCTTCAAAATGCTGTATTTGGCAATGCTCAAATCTCTGAAAAACCAAGTTAAAGTACACAGCACTTCAGCTGAACTCAGGCTCTCTCTGGGACTGGCATTGCTTACAGAAGCCATCTGCATGAATTCTGGGTGCATTTACTGTGCGGTGTGAACGAAGGAGAGTATTCAGTCAGTCTGTCTGTCTGGCAGTAGAACTCTCTTACAAGGACATCGAGGCATTAGAGTACCTGGCAAAACTGCATCTGTAACATGCAGGGATTAGGAAGGAAGGAGATAATTCACTGGAGGGGTATTACTAACCTTACACATTTGAGCAGATAGGGGACAGAATGGTTTAAATTTTAACTTGAAAAGTAGACACTAAGGTAACAAGCCTTGTCTTTGAGACCCAAACTAGTACATGACCTTGTACTGTACCACATGCCACCACTTCAGAATGGTGCTGCGCTGAACTAGGCAATTGTACCTCCTTATATGCACTCCACTGCAGGAACACTGTCCACACCACAGCACTGCCATGTTTAGTTACTACTACACTACCCACTTCTAATTATTTTCTAAATCTGGTTTTTTGTCTGTGTGTGTGTGTGTGTGTGTGCCAAAACTTATACCACTTTCTAAAGCTACTAAAATTGCATAGTGACACCTAATGTAAAGGGGAAACAAGATGAAGTCTAAAAAAATCCCAGTATTATTAACAAAGCAAATTGTATCTCAAGAGAGTTACAAATAATGTATATAGCAAAAAAGAAAGTATAATAATAAGGAATGAAACTGTATTTCAGTAATTCAAAAGCAAACAAATTACATCAGCATTATTCAAAACTCAACATTACAGACCAAGGAGCTTCAGAATCAGACTTTGCACATCAAAGAAATCTAACCTGCTCAAATAACTTCAAGGCTTCTCAACTACAAAGTAGTGGCACCAGGTGTATGTATCGGTCATCACTGTATTTGTAATTGTGAATTAGAATAAAAGTAATCTCACAGAGGGTTGGGGGGGGGCAGCACAACGGGCTGTCATTTTCTCTGCCAGTCAGTTTAAAAAAAAAACGTAAAAAGAGTAAAGTTAAGAAAAGAGGAAAGATGAAACAAAAAGCAGTAAAATTATATTACTAAAAATTCAAACACAACATACCACACCAGGTAAAATTATTTTACTCTCTTAAATTACAAGCAGAAAGGCAACCAAACTCAGTTTCTTTTTGTCATGTAACACTTTTCTTGGATGAAGATGTCAGTAAAAGTTCAAGATCCATAGCTGTCAACGGCAACTATAGATGGTTCAGCCTCCTTCATTCTTTTAAAATCTCTTTTAGCTTTCTCCTCTTCATTCCAAAAGAACTGAGCTTTTGTACTCCAACTCTTGAGAGAACTTATCACCATTCCCACTCTATTCCATTGTACCATTTATTTTCTCCTGTAAATCCAGTTGTTCCTACCTAGGGGCTAAGACTGCAGGTGGTGAGAGCAAAGGACCACAGAATGGAGCTACTCAGACTTCTATTGCATGACTATCTGCTAGCTTTCTATATGGAGATGATTGGCTTGGTAGACCAGTGACAGCAGTGAATGTTGTCTACCCTGACTTTAGCAAGGCCTGCAGTGTCCCCCATAGTGTCCTTTAATCAGATTGTTAATATATGGACTAAGGAAATAAACAATAAAGTTGGAAAAAAACTAGTTGGACCACCAGGCAGAAAAGGTTGTAGTGAGTGGTACAAGGTCGAGCTAGCAGCTGGTTACTTGGGGCACCCCCCACATGCTGATATTGGGACCAAGTTTCACATCTTTATTAACAATATGAACAAGTTAACTGAATACACTTTCAGCAAGTCTGCAGATTATACTAAACTGGATTTGTTCACTCTTAAGGTATGACAACTAAATGGAGAAATCCTACTGCTGTCTTCAGTTACCTAATGAAAAGATATATAAATACAAGGGAGCTGAGCTCCTTTCAGAGAAGCACAGTGATAGGACAAGAGGCAGTGGACAGTAAGTTTCAACAAGGGAAAAAAATCTGCACCACGATGGTGGTCAAACACTGAAACAGACACCTAGAGAGGCTGTGGACTCTCCATCCTTGGATATTCTGGAGTAATGATGGGAGAAAGTTGGAAGAGCACCACCTTCACAAGATTTCTATCCTCTTTCACAGGACAAGCTAATTAGTAACAGTTATGAAAACTAATGAGAATCACAGAATCTGAACATTAGTAAGTTAAAAAGCTAAACAGGGAATATTTTGCAGTGTATTTTCCTTCCTGATTCTTTTTAAAATGAAGTTAAGATTGTTAAAACATCATTAGACTACATAAAGCTTGTTCCAGAACTCATCTCGTAAAGGTCTTAGTAACAAGTGACAGCACAGCCCTACAGCATTCATCCATTCTGAAAAGTAGGTGCAAGTCATCACTCTGCCCTGGCCTGCTGTGCAGTGCTGCATGTACTATGAGTTCACGTGTTTTACTGCCTTCTTTGTGAAGTATGTACCAAAGAACCTCTTTGCTCCCCGAGTTGTGAGGCAAGAAGACATTTACAATACTTCTATGTAATCTTCTCTCTACAAAGAGAATACTTTATTCCGATATCTAAATGTCAAAGAAAGTAAAAGAAACTGTGCAGGATTATTATCTCTATGCTATAGTTTGAGACTTGACAGATAAAAGACTTTCTCAAAGTCAGAGAACAAATAGCTGAATCAAGCACCAGAAATTAATACAAAAATTTCCAGTTTTTGTGTTGGCAGTGAGAAAGATAAGCCACGTATTTGCCAATGAGAAAACACATGTGCACACACAAAGTGTTTCTCCTATCGGAGCATATACACTTTTTTTGTTGTTGTTAGCTTCTAGTCATTTATGGTCTGAAATGGTTGAGTGGAGCTGGATGTAACAAAAAAATGAAAATTTCTTCAGGATACAATGTAAGAGTCCTTGTTTTACACTTACTCCACTCCCCCCTGTCACTGTGCTCTTTCTTCTCCATTTCTAGGTACATCATCCCCACCCCAACACAAAAAGAATTTGCTTGACTGCTAAATAGGAGATGACATGAGCACTTACATCATTTACAGAAAGAAATCAACAAATCCTTTTTGAGCTTTAGCAAGCCTCTTCCTACATTAGCATTAAGGCAATTTAAAACAATACTTGAAATGCTTTTGCAACATTTTGCCAAACTCAATCGTGACTTCTTCACATTTACTGAATTAAGTTGGGGTAATTTTATTTTTAAATGTATGCAGCCCTAAACTGCAGATCTGACCACTGAGTCACTGTCTCCATTCCAAGCCCATCTGTGGTTTCCCTAAGCAAACAAAACGGTCAAAGTTCCTCCGGCCAGCAGAATAATAATGAAAAAAACCTACTCTTCCAAAGTGGGAACAGCCTGACTTTATACCACATTATCAACTGATGTTCTAGTTGGCAAGACAGAGCTCTGAGACTCTTGCCTGTTCCAAGGCTCAAACATGAAGTAACGGAAGGAAAAACCGAAGATGGTTCCAAAGCAGTTCATGGGACAACCTGGCACAACTCAGCTGTGATCAATCACATCCCTTTGCAAGTCAAAGGCTGAAGTGTTCAAGCAGGTGGGCTACTGGCAGGCAATCCGCTTCAACAGAACACAGATAAATGATATTTACTTTTTCTTACCTGATATGCGTTGCTGGAAGGGACTCATACTGGCGAGAAAGGAAGAGCTCTCTGTGCTTCAACTGATGTTTCTGTTTATCAGTCAAATCAAGCTCAATTGTAGTTTCAGACTCTTCTTCAACTTCTTCTGCAGAGAAGCAGAGCGTAGGTCGAAATTAACTCTGTTGCATAATACCACTGCAGCCATTTCACTTGACATCCCCCCACCCCTTAGCAACCTCCCTTAGTATTTCAAAGATGAGTTTAACAAGACTACAGTTTATGTAACTTGGCAGAATATTAAGTATTTTGAATTCTATACCTTCTACTTAAACTCTTTAAAAAATAATGCTCCTCTCCTACTGTACTACGCGTCGATGTCTTTCACACAGCTGTAAGAACAATCCTGACAGCATTACTGATTCTTTTTTCATCTTCTTTCATCTGTTTTTTTTTTCTGGGGGTGCCTCTTGCTTGCTGACAAGTTCTGGCTTAGATTTTGTTGCTGTTATTGGTATTACTAAAACTTTTACAGAAGTCCTGGGGAAAAGCATACTTTTTATGAACATAAATTTACTAAACACAATCACAGTCTGTGACAGCCAAACTGCAGTCTAAGAAAACTGAAAGAGCCTTCCCTTATGTTAACCTTATTAGATACAGACAACAAATACAGTTTATTTTCATATTTAAATAAGATTTTAAATAATTTCTATTTTAAGCAAGACAGCACTATTCAATCTAGAAGATAGCATCTACAACAGCAAGTCATAAATTACACAGTTCTTTTTGAAGGTTATTTTCAGTTGAAAACTATCTTTTAAAGTAAGTCTAATCTCAAATTCTCTAGTATTACCTCATATATGATAAAAAGAAGGAAATAATTCCCTTTTAAAGATTTAAGCCAACTGTAAACTGGGAACATAAAGGAAGAAATAAAAGCAGACACAAGGAAGTCTCACACATGGAGTTAAAGAACAATGTTGACGGTGGTAGACAACATGTCAAACCATATTGGGTTTGCATGACATGGTTTTCGTAGCCGGAGGTGCTGCAGGGTAGCTTCTGTGAGCAGCTGCTAGAAGCTTCCCCTGTGTCCAACAGAGCCAATACCAGCCGGCTCCAAGATGGACCCACTGCTGGCCAAGGCTGAGCCCACCAGTAACAGTGGTAGCACCTCTGGGGTAACGTATATAAGAAGGGGGGGAAAAACTAGGCAATTGCAGCCAGAGAGAGAGGTGAGAATGTATGAGAGAAACAGCCCTGCAGACACCAAGGTCAGTGAGGAAGGGGGGGCAGGAGGTGCCCCAGGCACCAGAGCAGAGATTCCTGTGCAGCTCGTGGTGAAGACCATGGTGATGTAGCCCCATGGTGGAGCAGCTACCCACCTGCAGCCTGGGGTCCACACACTGGAGCAGGGGGATGCCTGAAGGAGGCTGTGACCCCGTGGGAAGCCCACACTGGAGCAAAATCCTAGAAGGACCCATGGAGAGAGAAGCCCACGCTGGAGCAGGTTTGCTGGCAGAACTTAGGACCCCGTGGAAGGGACCCAAGATGGAGCAGTTCGTGAAGAACTGCAGCTTGTGGCAAGGACTCATAGACAAGGTCATGGAGGACTGTCTTCCATGGGAGGAACCCCACAATGGAGGAGGGGCAGTGTGTGAGGAGCCCTCCCCCTGGGGAGGAAGGAGAGGTAGAAACACAACCTTCATTCCCCATCCGCCTGCACCGCTGGAAGGGAGAAGGTAGAGAATACAGGAGTGAAGTTGAGCCCAGGATGGGTGAGGAGAAGGTATTTTAAGATTTGGTTTTAGTTCTCATTATCCTACTCTGATTTGATTGGTAATAAATTAATTTTCCCCAAGTTGAGCACATTTTGCCCGTGGCAGTAACTGCTGAGTGATCTCCCTGTCCTTGCCTTGGCCCACGAGCCTTTTGTTGTATTTTCTCTCCCCTGCCCAGCTGAGAACGGGAGTGATAGAGCAGCTTTGGTGGGCACCTGGCATCCAGCCAGGGTCAACCCACCACACATACAATGACAGGCTCTCCAAAATGGCTACCCTGGGATCTTCTTCATGGCTGAAATGTGCCTTCCTAGTGGATTCTTGGGACATCCAGAACTTCAATCCATACTTCCTCTACCTTCCCAGAAAGGACGAAAAGTCTCTGTGAATATTGTATGCAAAAATACAGACATTTTAATAACTTCTCTAAGATTTAGCAATTTTCTACCTGCTAAATTATCCATCAGCTGCAAAACCAAGTGTACTTTATAAAATGCCTCAGAAATTAAACACTGAAACCTCAGCATGAGGTAGTATTTCACATAACTACCTACAACAGATCACCTCATCCACTCTTCCAACAATAACCATTTTTACAACTTACGGACACTATCACAAAATGAAGCCCGCCTGTATCCTCACGGCAACCACAGTGCTGTCCAAATGCAACACTTCATTGTTTTTTTTAATCATGCCTGTGTGTAGCTCATGCCACTTCTAATAGCTCTTTCCACAAAAGTGACAGAACAATACACCCTGATATAACCAACTTCTGCAAACCCTACTTCATCCACTTTAAGTCTATCTTGCTGTAGACCCTGCCAGTGACCTTCCTTGTTTTGGCATGTTTTGTGGGGGGGTAGAATTAAAAAAACAAAAATGAAAACAAGACTCCCCCCAGTCTCATCTGACAGCCCACAGCCTCACCTGACACATGTACAGGTTCAAGTCAGACCACAACTCAGTTCAGAATTATTCTGGCATCTATAATACTTACAACAAATAAGGCTTAAAAAAATCTGTGCAAGGACAAAGCACTTTTTAAATTAACCAAGTAATTAAAGAAAAAATAGAAATTAATGTTAAAAGGTTTATGTTTCAAGCAAGCAATAGCTACAAGTGTTTATTACAGTAAGGGGCCATTACAAGCTATATTTGTATTTAAAAGTCCAAGTGTTAATATTTTGTCTTAAAATACCAAGACATGCCAGTGGTTGACTTATTGTTTTGTCTGTTTTTCTTTTTTTAAATAAATATACTGCTTGTAGTATTCTACAGGTCCAAAGTTCTCAGCTATTTATTTCCTCTCTTCTTCCTGAAAAATATTAAAGCAGGTGTTATAGCCACCTGAAAACAGCTGACAGAAAGCAGTCCATTAGAAAGCAATTTAGGCATCCAAACACAGGTGTCCGGGACCATTCCAGATTGACATATCCAAAACATCTGACTGCAGATATGGCACAAAACACAGGAGAATATGTGTCATTTTAAACTGGCTACACTGAGCCAGAGATGATATTCCAGAGAGTTTAAATAGGCTTTAGACAGCATGCTCAAGTATCTTAATAGCTCCCTCAGAGTAATAATTTAAACTAAATAATAATTTTTAAAACCCCCAAAACTTATAATATATTTACATAAGCCAAGAACGTGTTGATGCAAAAGCCTGAAGCTGAAATTAAATGTCTCTTACACACACCTCTTAAAACACTCCAAACCTAAACATGAAACAATGTAACTTCTTCTGTTGTGTTTTTAGAAAGAAAACATTGGTATTTCAGTCATGATGATCTGATAATCTCAGTAGTCAGGAGAACAAACCATGTCCAGACACAGAACAGTTCCACTCTTAACACAATGTAATTTATCACCAGGATGATGTTACCATTTTTTTTTAATATAAAAGCAATGCTAACAGTAGGAATAGCATTTAGTAAAACAAGTAATAGATTGCCCCAGCAGTAACACAAACCTGTACCAGGGAAGGAAACACTGGATAGCATAAAGAAGTGAGAAAACTACATTTGCTTGATGGTAAATATAAATACAAAACCAATTTGCTTGACGGCAATACAAAGAACTCTGCATCTAAATAAAAATTGATAGCTGCTTTTGAACCCTGTTTTTGCACAGATCAGGCCTTAACACTTATTAGAAGAAAAGTGGTGATGAACTTCCAGTACTTCTACAGATCTCTTCACCTTTTTGACTCCAATTTGCAGCACACGTGAAATGTAATTTGCCATCCAAAGAGAGATTACTCCTGTCAAAAGGAGTGAAATGGAAGGTACATACAGGAAACCATGAAGTAGCACTAAACTAAGCACATTTTCAGCACTCAGGAAGAGAAATAAAGCAATGGCTCAGAATGAGCAAATACTTTAATGAAGCAATATGGTGATGACATACAGGACTCACTGTTCCAAGATTAGAGAGAAAACAAAATTCCATTTTAAATTGTTCAGCTTAAAAATATTTTGAAACTCTTAGGTATGACTACAAAGATGAATACAAACAGTTTTTGAAAATTATATGATCCCCTTTAGGCCTCGGGCGAAGTTTAAGGTAATGCTGTTTTGTAGTACTCTTCCTGGTTTACAAAAGTGTTTCATTATTTAAAGGAAAAATCCTGGAGAGCAAAAGCAGACACCTCCAGTGAGCTTTTAAAGCTTTACATCTATTTATTGTACATGCTTTCTAATCAGCAATTGTAAATACTTACTTTGATCCTGAAAACCAGAGTCATCTGGTGATACTTTCAGTTGCAGTGCTGCAGACTCATCCCTTCCCTTTTTCCCTCCGATGTAAGAAAGACTTAACTGACTCAATCAAGCAACACACACCGGGAAGAAACTGTAATCCTCACTCATTTTACATATGCATCACCACTTCTAAAACATGATGAACTCTTTTTTCTTTTTCCCCCTCCTCTTCCATTTAATCTGTGGGATTCACTGTTAGAAAATGGTGCTGTTAGTGAGCATGAGAAGAGACAAGGGTCCGAGTCACCTAAACTTTGTATAGTGTCTTTGTTTATACTTAAGTGTTGTGATGACTCAAGCTTGCCACTAGGAAGAACTGCTTGTTTTTAAAACTAAAATCAAAATAAACTGAGGGCAAGTCTCCGGAAACACAATACTCCCATTTAATATAAAATGGTTTAAAAATAGCTTAAAAAAAATAAAATCCTGAAAGACACTTAAAGGTTTAAATGCGACTCAGACCCGTCTATAGTTAACCATCAGGTAGCAGACAAGTTAGATTCCTCTAACATATTACTCTTCCTTAACTAAGTCAAAATAACACACCATGTGCCCCCCTGGTCTACTGCAACAGAAGGTAAGAGAGATTAAATTTAAACACT